CCCTGCTAGGAGTGTGACTCTAACAGTTTTTGGAGGCCGAGATGTGCCCTAACACGGGCTCAGCCTGTAATTCCGCGCCTTTGGGAGGCTGAGCTGAGTGGATTGCCTGAGCACACGGGTTTGAGACCCACCTGGGTAGCCGAGACCTCATCTCTACAATAAATCAAAAAATTAACCAGGCGTGGTAGCGCGCACCTGTAATTCCGGCTACTCAGAAGGCTGAGGCAGAAGGATCGCCGGAGCCCAGCAGGTCAAGGCTGCGGTGGCCGGGGGCGGCCACTGCACTCCAGTCTGGGCGACAGAGTGAGACTCCAACTAAAAAAAAAAAATTCCTTTATAGCACCATTTTTTTTTTATATCTTTCCTTTGCTTTCTGGTTTCTTTACCTTTTTAGATAACCTTTTTTACGTTTATACTTTGAATTAATCTTTAGTAACTTTTGATTCAAGTGTAAGGCTATATGATTCCAACATGGATCGGCAGGACCAAATGGCTGGCACCTGTGTTATTTAAGAAATTAATTTGGGTTCCAGCACCCTAATATTCACCTGGGAGTTTTTGGGGGTGGTGGTGAGCCAGTGCCAGGCACTTTAGCAGACTTCCAGACCTCCTTAAATGGCCACCATTTCTGAGCCAGGTGTTCTTTCTTCAGAAGTGAGTGCACCTGCTTCTCTGGCTGCACAGTGGACAAGGTCCAGGAGGTTTAGGCCTCTTTGGGGCACTACACTTCTAGTGCCCCCATAGACTGTACCCATAAGCAATGGATATCATCCCCTTAGCAGGTTTGTTCTTACCAGATCTCTGATGGGGCAGTTGGAGTTTTTTCACTAATTGCGACTGCCAGCTGGGGTGCCTCTTTGGCCCTCTTGTTCTGCAGCCCTCCAAGTAAGCACCCTGTTGCTTTTCTCATGTCCCGACTAAAGAAAAATTCAAAAGTTCTTCTTTTTTTTTTTGAGTTGGAGTCTCACTCGGCCACTCCAGTGTCGACCTTCTGGGCTCCAGCAATCCTTCTGCCTTAGTCTTCTGAGTAGCCAGGACTACTGACGCACGCTACCATGCCTGAGGTCTCACTAAGTTGCCTGGTCTGGTCTTGAAGACGTGGGCTCAGGCAATTCACTCACCTTGGCCTCCCAAAGTGCTGGGATTACAGGGTGAGCCACTGAGCCCAGCCAAAAGTTCTTTTTTTAAATTGACCACACATATGAAAGTACTTGGCTTAGTAAAAGTGATTTAACTCTCTCTTTATAAAACCTTTAGTCAGCCTGATAGAACAAATGCTGGTGTTACCTAGCACTAATGTTTCAACAAGTTGGAATCAAAACTTTACTAGAGTACTTGCAAATTTGGTTGGAAAACCTGATTAAAACTCTTTTAAGTTGGTTAACAATTAATTAAGACGTGATCCCTTTACTTTTTCCTGGGAAGAGGATTGATAGTTCCAGTTTAAGTATGATAGAGGGCCAGGTGCGGTGGCTCACGCCTGTAATCCCAGCACTTTGGGAGGCCAAGGTGAGAGGACTGCCTGAGCCTGCTGGTTTGAGACCAGCCTGAAGCCAGTCTCTACAATAAATTAAAAAATTAACTGGGCGTGGTAGCGTGCGCCTGTGGTTTTGGCTACTTGGAGGGCTGAGGCAGAAGGATCGCCGGAGTCTTAGCAGGTTGACGCTGGGGTGGCTGCAAGCGTGCCGCTGTACTCCAGCCTGGATGACAGAGTGAAACTTCAACTTAAAGAAAAAAAAGGATAGAGATTTATCATAGAAGAAAAAAACAAACATGAACTTTAACATCTTTTTTGTCCCAGCCACCTCCCTGAGGCGACACTGGTGAAGCCTGCAAGTGTGAGAGAGAAGGATAGGGGGAGGAGAGGAGGTGGTGCGCCAGGGAGGTATCAGGCAGTGGGGAAGGGGGGCGAGAAGGCAGGAGGCTGGGATCAGGCGCAGGCCTTTGGCGCCGGGCCCTCCTCCACAGGTAAAGGTGGAGGGTGAGAAGGAAGAGCAGGAAGGGAAACTGAGGAAGAGTGGAGTGGCAGAAGGAGATTGCGAGAGACAGAGAAGTTAAACCAGCTGGGTCAGCATCTGAGTTGTTAGAGGGGAACAGGAAGGAGTTAAAGTAATCAGAGAAGGAGCGTGGGAGTGGCACAGGAAGAACAAGGGGTCCGGGTGGTACACCATTTTGAAAACCTTGGGCCCTCGCAAACCCACGGGGTGAGGCAATCCACTCACCTCAGCCTCCCAAAGGCATGGGATTACAGGCTGAGCCACCGAGCCCGGCTTGATTTTTTTTTGAATCGGAGTCTCACTCTGTCACCCAAGCTGGAGGGCAGTGGCACGCTCACAGCCATATCAGTCTTGACCTACTGAACTCAAGCAATCCTTCCACCTTAGCCTTCCAAGTAGCTGGAATTACAGGCACATGCCACCACGTCTGGCTAATTCTTTTTTTTTTTAATTGTAGAGACAAGGTCTCGCCAAGTTGCCCAGGCTGGTTTCGAACTCACAGGCTCAGGCAATCCTCTCACCTCGGCCTCCCAAAATACTGGGATTACAGGCCTGAGCCACCATGCCTGGCTGAGGAGTTCCTCCTTTCAATTTGCTTTCATGCTGCAGCCAGGGCTTGCTCTCAATCACAGAGCTCTTCTGTCATCTGACCCAGGCAGCCATGTCCCTGTAGATGTCCAGTGAATGTCCTTGGACACTTGGACGTCTTGTCCTTCCACATTTTTTTTTTTGAGTCAGAGTCTCACTCCGTCATTGCCCAGGCTGGAGTGCAGTGGCATGCTCACGGCTCTCCCAGCATCAACCTGCTGGGCTCTGCCTTCCAAGTAGCCAGAACTACAGGTGCGTGCTACCGCGCCTGACTAATTTTTTTGATTTATTGTAGAGATGAGGTCTCACCATGTTGCCCAGGTTGGTTGTGAACCCGCGGGCTCAGTCAGTCCTCTCCTCTCTGCCTCCCAAAGTGATGAGATTACAGGCTTGAGCCATTCTGCCCGGCCTGACCTTCCACATTTCAGGGAGACTCCCTTGTAGCAGAGATTTCAGATATAAAGGTGAGCTAACGCCAGCCAGAGATGGAGTTTCTGCAGACTCGGGGCTACTGTATCTCAAGACTTGATGGGGCCTTGGCCTTGGAGGGTCTGTCTCAACATCCTTCCCTGGCTTTTGTACAAAAAGTGAAGAACTGATGGCTCTCACCAGGCCTCTGAGTGGAGATCCCACAGCCACAGATGGCCTTTCTCTAACAGTTAAGGCAACTTTCCTTTGAGGTCCAGGGGCTAGCTAACCTGGAACTGATGTAGAGAAAATGCAAGGTGCTGTGTTCCCTGGGCCTTGCTCTGTCCATTCAGGCCATGCCACCTCCTTGCCATCCCACTTAGGTGTTAGGGTGTCTGACTCTGTCAGACCCACACCGTGGCCTGTCCCCACCTCCTTGGGCTCCCTTCTTCACGAGTTGGCTGCACCATCCTCCTTTAAGCCTTGACCTCTCTCTCATTCCCTGCATAATCTATCAACAAAAACCTGTCAGCGATGTTTCCAAAATGTATTCCAGATCTGGCTTTCTCCATCTCCCTCGCCCGCACGTGGAGTCCAGCTGCCTCCTCTCCTGCTGGACTATGACAGTCATCCTGCTTGGTCTCCTTGCTTCTATGCTTAGTCCCCTAAGTCCAGTCTCAAAAGAAATGACACTTTTATAAAGCCACTCCCCCGATCCAGACACTCTCTCATCCAGAGCTGTCACCGAATGGCAGGGTTCTGGATCTTCTCTCTCCTGCCCTTGGGCCTTTGCTTCCTGTGCCAACCAGGCTAGCCTACTCCTCCCTGCGCTACCCAGGCGTGTGCCAGCCTCGGGGTTTTTATACTTGATGTATCTTTCCCTGAACACGGTCCCACCCACCTCAAAAGTGAGGCTTTCCTGGCAGCTATCTCTAAAAGAGCAGCACATGTCCCCAGGCCACCTCACCCTGCCTTGTTCTTTCCCACAGAAGGGTGCTTACCCCGGCCTTGTCTGTTTCTCTGTCTTGCCTGTCTTTCTCTTCCAACGAATAAAAACACCAAGCTTTGCTGTGCTCCCAGGGCCTAGAACTGTGCTTGTTATACAGTTGGGATCCACAGATGTTGAGTGAATGGATTACCCAAGTGAAAGAATGCTGAGAAGTATCCCGGACTATGACCTTTGTGGGTGAGCAGGTGTTCATACTACTGAGTGGCCTTGATTCTCTGCAGAGGGCCTGGGCCCTGCTCCCCTTGGCTCTTTCTTGGCTGTGCTCCAGAGATTCCATCCACTCTCTCCCCTCCTGGACCTTTTCTTCTCTTTCTTCAAGTTTAGTAGTTTCCACTGCCCTCTTCATTTTCAAATTTTTAATGCCTCTCATGAGGAAAAAACAAGGGGCCAATGAACACCTGCCTTCTGGGACGGCTGAGAGCTCACAAAGCCCCTCTTGCATGGGCTCGGCCCTCGTGACTCCCAGGCCACTGGGGGCCTGAGCGTGGGGCTGCCCTCTCCTTCCTGATCTCACTTGGATGGCCATGGGTGCCCCTGTCTCCTGGCCCTCGAGGGAGACGCGAGTCATACATTCTTCGTCTGTGAGTGGAGCTATTACACTTGGGGCTGATGAATGCCTGAGCCATTTCCTCAGGATGTTTCTCAGCCGCCCTCCACGTGCCCCTGCCCAATTCTGCAGGAGGTGCTGCGTGGACTCTGTGGTAAAATCATCTGTTCTAGAGATTGGATACAGCTCCAAGGTGGACACACAGTCGGCCTTCAACCAGTGCTCATTGGATGGGCCCGGACACACTCGGTGCCCCGTGCCCGACCCAGGGCTGCCGTGGAAGCTTCTTGGAGGCTCATGGTTGGCCTGAGTGAGGGGGGGAGGAGCCAGAGGGGACGGGCGGCGAGGGGAGGCCCAGAGGGGCGCACCCCACACATCCGCGGCCTGCTCCCTGTCACTTGCAGTCCTGCTCTCGGAATTCCCGTCACTGTTTATTCCTTCCTTTGTGTAGGAGTCAATGTCCTGCCTGTGCTCAGGATGAAGTGGGACCTGGCCCTGGTGAGCACCCTAATTAGCCTGGCCTTCCTGTCGCTGCTGCCATCTGGATATCCTCAGCATACTGCCGACGATGCCTGCTCTGTGCAGATCCTCGTCCCAGGCCTCAAAGGTAACCGACTCCACTCCTCCCACCCGGGGCCCCGGTCAGTGGCCTCTGGGGCAGCCAAGAGTTTCCCGCGCAGTTGGACAGTTCAGTGGAAAAGCACAAAGCCTGAGCAAATCTGCTCACCCATTGGGGCCTCCGTTGAAGGACTGGGCTCCATGATGTCTAGCTGTCTCCAGCCTTGGAATTCTGTAATTCTGCAGATAGCAACTTGCCACTCAGCCCTTTCTAGAAGGACCCTGCAGGAAAGCAGCTGACATTTGCTGCAGAAACTGATCTCATGGGACCTTCAGCATGAGGTGGTCTCATTTGATCCATTTTACAGACAGGGAAATTTGAGGCTCAGAGAAATTCTGCAATTTGCCTAAGGTCCCACAGTGAGCTCCTACACTGGTTCCTGAGAGCTCTTCATATTCTTTATTTTAAAAATTAAAAAATTAGCCAGACTCAGTGGCTCAGCCTGTAATCCCGCACCTTTGGGAGGCTGAGGTGAGTGGATTGCCTGAGCCGTGGGTTCGAGACCCGCCTGGGTAGGCGAGACCTCATCTCTACAATAAATAAAAAAATGAGCCGGGCATGGTAGCGCATGCCTGTAGTTCCGGCTACTTGGAAGGTTGAGGCGGAAGGATCGCCGGAGCCCAGCAGGTCGAGGCTGCAGTGGGGCCCAGTGCAAACTGAAAACATGTGCAAACTGAAAACATGGGGCCCCTTATTCAAAAATTAAGAATTCCAAGAAGGGACAGCGGGAAGCAGGGCTGAGGGGCTGCACAGATCTTAGCATGGAACCTGCCTGTCCCACATGCAGGAGAGGGACGGGCATGGGGCCCTGGTCCACAACTGAGTGCAGTCAAGTGAGTGTGGAGGCTCTGGAGGTGGCATACAGTGCCCCCAGATTCAAGCCTGCCTCTTCCCAGTCCCCACACGGGCTGCGTGGAGTCTCCTAGGAGCCCAGGTGCGGCCCAGAGGCACCTTTAGTGGAAGGCCACAGTTCTTTTTACCCGACATTAGAGAAAAGTGGATTCTTACATGTAAGAGCTGTCAAACCATGATCAAAACAACCACTACAAGAGACCAGCCCCACTTATCTCTGTGCTGCACAAAATGAAAGATCAGCCTTCTTGCAGGGCACAGAGTCTAGACAGTTTGGGGCTGCTTGTGGTCCAGGGATACCAGTCTCTGCAGCATTGCCGGTGATGTCCCTCTCTTGTAGGATCAGGGGGTTGGGGAGCCAAGAGCATAACACTATTCGGAAGGTTCTTTTTGGGCTGTTTTCACCCTGCTGTTGGAAACCAAGGAGACGACCCTGCAGTCCAAACAAGCCCACAGCCATGTGTTTGTGTGTGTGTGTGTGTGTGTGTGTGTGTGTGTTTTAAAATTAATTAATTCTTTTTGTAGAGATAAGGTCTTGCTATGTTGCCCACGCTGGTCTTGAACTCCTGGTCTTAAGCAATCCTCCTGCCTTGGCCTCCCAAAGTGCTGGTATTGCAGGCATGAGCCACCGCACCTGGCCATTTTTGGGTTTTTAGTTCTGATAAACACGCTGATTCCATTTTTAAAAATTTTAATTAAGCTGAGCTCGGTGGCTCAGCCTGTAGTCCCGCGCTTTGGGAGGCTGACGTGAGTGGATTGCCTGAGCCCGCGGGTTTGAGACCTGCCTGGGCAGGCGAGACCTCATCTCTACAATAAATCAAAAAATTAGCCGGGCGTGGTAGTGCGCGCCTGTAGTTCCAGCTACTTGGAAGGGTGAGGCGAAAGGATCGCCAGAGCCCAGCAGGTCGAGGTTGCGGTGGCCAGGAGCGGCCACTGCTCTCCAGACTGGGCGACAGAGTGAGACTCCAACTCAAAAAAAAAAAAAATTTTTTTTAAATTACATTGGAAGAAACACAAACTGTATAATGTGTACCACTCTCTCAGAAGTTTTGGTGAAAGAGTGGTTTGGGCTCCTGACTTTGTGGTAGTGTATGTGGTTTTGTGGGGAGAATATTCAGGGTTTTTTTTGGGGGGGTTGAGTTGTGGTCTCACTCTTTCACCCAGGCTGGAGCGCAGTGGCACAATCATGGCTCACCCCAGTCTCAACCTCCTGGATTCAGGTGATCCTTCTACTTCAGCCTCCCAAGTAGCTGGGACTACAGGCATGCACCACCATGCCCTGTTAATTTTTTGATTTTTTTGTAGAATCGAGGTCTTGCTGTGTTGCCCAGGCTGGTCTCAAACTCCTGGGCTCAAGCAATCCTCCTGCCCCAGTCTCCCAAAATGCTGAGAGTACAAGTGTGAGCCACCACACTAGGCCAAACCTTCAGGCTTAAATTGGAAAATGTATCCATGGGAGAGCTGGGCTTTCCACTGTGGAAGCCACACCCCCTGTCTGGGTGCGGTGGGTGTCCTGGGATCCTGAACGGTCTCCTTCTCTCACTCTGTGGTGTGTATGGTCCACATCAGGTGGGGGCTGTGGGTTTCTGGCTCCTTTCTAGATGCTTTTCCCAAGTGCTATTGGGAAGAACCTTCCCATCCATCCATCCATCTTGGGTCTCATGGATGTGCTGCTGTTTCACACGTGTCCAGAGTCCTTCTTTCTAAGGTGATGCAGGTGGTAGACACCTTTTCTGCTCCCTTGTTGGTCTTGTTGCTCAGCACAGAGTTAGTGACTTGGAAGTCACCATCTAGCAGCAGGGCCTGAGTCCCTGGTTACACTATACCTACTTCCCAGTACTGACTTGAGGCTGGTTGTGATAGAGGTAGTGCATAACACATACCTACAACAAAAAGTAATACCACTCAGAAATCGTTATTGAAGGGATGCGGAGCACCCCAAGGTCTCAAAAGGTCCTTGTGTTTCTACACTGTGGACTTCCCTCTGCTTTTTGTTTTTTTTTTTGTTTGAGTTGGAGTCTCAATAGGCACACGCTACCATGCCTGGCTAATTTTTGGTGTATTGTAGAGATGAGGTCTCGCCAAGTTGCCCAGGCTGGTCTCGAACTCGCGGGCTTAGGTAATCCACTCGCCTCAGCCTCCCAAAGTGCTGGGATTACAGGCTGAGCCCCTGAGCCCGGCCTGCTTTCTTGAGCATCATGTTGTGAGCATCATGTTAGGATGAGCATCACAGTGCCTGTACAGCATGGTCCCTCTCTGCTTTGGGTCAGCTGCACTGCACGGCTAGTTGTCTGTCTTCCCTGTTCATGAGGTCGGGAAGCGATACAGCCTTGACTCCGTGGGGACGCAGTGGCAGCGGATCTCGCACGGCCTGGGTCGGGGCTCAGTGCACACCTGTAGGGTAGGGAGGTGAGCAGCGAGGGCTGAACGGTTATTTTCTGCTTTACCGTGATTTGGAGCCTTCTGCGCATACAGCTCCTGACTCCAGAACCAAATCTCTAAACAAACCCAAAGAGATGATTTTAGTACATGGTTTAAATGTATATTTATTGTTACAGAAAGATTCAGTATTTTCTAAAGCCAAAACAGTGGAATATAAGCTCTTAAATAGTTCCTTTCCTATTTCATTAAAAGTATACAGAGGTATAGAAATACAGAAAAGAGCTAAAAGGAAATATGCTATAATGTTAACCATAACGGTTCTCTCTGAGTGTACAATTATAAATATTTTAAAATGTTCAAGTGGGTAACAATCCAAATATTCTATAGTTCAGCAGTTCTCACAATTCTTTTTTTGAGGTGGAGTCTCACTGTCACCCAGGCTGGAGTGTAGTGGTACACTCACAGCCACGCTGGCATCGACCTGGGCTCCAGCAATCCTTTCACCTCAGCCTTCCAAGTAGTTGGAGCTACAGGCATGCACTACCACACCCAGCTAATTTTTTTGATTTACTGTAGAGATGAGGTCTATGCCAAGTTGCCCCGGGCTGATCTTGAACCCATGGGCTCAGGCAATCCACTTGCCTCAGCTTCCCAAAGTGCTGGGATTACAATCTGAGCCACCCAGCCCGGCCAGTTTTCACAATGTAAATATAAAAATGGAGGCAATATCAGTATTCAAACATCTCTGGATTGTCCAACACACCCGAGGGCTCGTCGGCGCCAGATACTTTCGAAATCTGTGCTAGGGACTGTCCCATGTCCAGGGTGAAAACGAGTTCCTCACTGTATTCTCTGCAGGGTCAGGCCTGCAGAGCTGCGGTGCAGCATGGACTGCCTTTGGAGGGGCGACCAGAAGCATCCATCCTCATTCCATGAATGGCGCACCTTCCAGGGCATGGCCACGTCTCTTCTCATCAGAGATTGAATTTTTTTTTTTTTTGAGGAAGCAGGATTTATTGAGAGAACAGAAAAGCTCTCACAGTGGGAGGGGACCTGAAGGGGTTGCCCGAGATTGCCTCAGATTGCCCGAGATTTAACACAGATTGTGAACAGCAATGAGTCACTTAGACTGTGAGCCTCAAGCACTGTCCACAGAGTTGGCTTGGTCTTATTTTTATGTATACCTTTCACATACACTTATTGAGCATCTACAATAAGCCAGATGTGCTGTAGGTCCTTTCGAGGGTCCTGTCAATCAATCAGACACGGAACCTGCTTTCCACTCCCAGTGAGGCAGACCTGGCCCCTGCTTCCCATGGGCTTATCCTCCAGCTGGTGAAGGAAGGCACGCTCCTGAGCAGTGATGAAGCTGTGTGGCATGTGCTCAGGCTGTGGGCTAGACACAGGCCCCGTGCTATAGAGCATGTGTACTGCGGTCTTCCATTTTATTTATTTATTTGTTTGTTTATAATTTCAAAGGTGTGGGGTACAATTCAAGATTAGGTTTACAAGTGGTCAGCATACAAGTAAAATTTGGACCTCCCTTGGTCCCCACTTTGCCTGGTTTGAGATCAGGTACCTTACTGATGTTGTATATAATCCCCCACCCACCCTGGCGGTATCTCACTACTGCCAATCCCTTTCTTATAGTATCATGGTAAATGTTCAGGGTCCGCTTGTGAGTGAGAACATGTGGTATTCTGTTGTTATTTTTTTTCTCTGTGGTAGATCACTGATATGATAGACTCTAAGTC